ACTTAATTGGACTAATAATTCATGATCCCTACACCTGGCATCTCATTGTCTGTAATTTCACATTGGTGTTAAGTTATTTTGATTTATATTTAAGATAAAGACATTCCTGCATCAGCACTGAAAGTTAAATAATGTACGTAAGGTAGTTACTTCAAGTTGAGTAACTGTTAAGCAGGTATGCTTTTTATAAAGTGTAAACGAGTAATAACAATGTATAATTGTATATTATTACGGTAAAATATTTAAAGAAATGTGTGGTGGTCTCTTCAGTATAACTATTTTTTGCTATTTTTTATTCCCAACTTTTTATTTAAATATTTTTACCTCTACAGAAAATTGGAAGTATAATACAGTAAACACTTAAAAACACACTTAGATTCATCAGTTGTTAACATTGTATCATATTTGCTTTTTCTCTAAATTTGAATATATAACTTTTTGCTGAACCGTTTGGAAGTAAGTTGCAGATATCACAATACTTTACACCTAAATATTTCAGCCTGCATTTTCTAAGGATAGAGACAGCCTTCTTTATAGCCACACCATTATAATATCTAGTAAAATTAGTAATTCTGTAATATCACCATACCCCACCCATATTCAAATACCCCAATTGTTTCCAAAATGTCTTGTGTAGATTTTTATTCCTGGATCTGGAGACAGTCAAGTTACATGGCATTTTGTTTTTGTTTGGAGTGGGGGAGGTAATTAGGTTTACCTAGTTATTTATTTTTGGAGGTAGTACTGGGGATTGAACCCAGAACCCTGTGCATGCTCAGCATGCACTCTACCACTTGAGCCATACCATCCCTAGGCACTTTATTAAGTCTCTTGGAGTTCTTTTAATCTGCAATAGTCCCCTGCCCATTTTCTCCCCATGGCATCCACTTTGAGAGCAAAGCTGTTTTGTAGAGCAAAGCTATTTTGTATAGCTAAGCTAGAGAGATGTAACATTTGGTCTTAAAAATAAATATATGTCTTACTTGAGAGCAGTTAGAAAGAATTCAACTTCCAGTTGCTTTTCTCTAGTAACCACTGATAGGGTAGGTTAAGGTTTAAATGTGGAACATAGTTTTCTGTTTTCTGGATACTGACAATAACAACTGCTATCCTCAGCATTTACTGATTACTCCCTGTAAGCCAAGCACCGGTCAAACGCTCTATAATATGTTGCAAGTGGGATGGGGCTGCTTAGTGAGGTTAGGAACTAACAAAAAGCACTTAGTAAATATAAGGCTTAAAAAAATCTGTTTTATTTGGATGCTGCCAACGAATGATAAGGCTGTGATGAAGCTTTGAAGAACTGGGAAGAATTTGAAGGGAAAAGAAGCCAGAGCCGGCCGTGTCTCATCTAGAATTTTTTTGTGTGTATGTGTTTTTATTGTTGATGTTTGGCTTGATAAGATACAGATCCTACATCTTGGGATCTCCCAAACTGGTGTATAATTGCGGTGGAAAAACTGTTCTGGGGTGGAAATTGCCCTCATTAGGAGAAAAGAGCGTGTTTACCCAGTGTCTCCAGAGGAGGGCTCAGAGTAACCACTGTAGCCCCAGGTGCAATCACCATGTTTTTGTTTTTGTTCTGAGTTTAAGTGACCTCATAAAGCAGAGGAAGTAATTGCCTCGTTTGTAGTTCATAACTAATATCTGGCAAAATGCATGGAGAATTTGGGCTGCAGGTGAATGAATATTAAAAGGAAGTCAAGTTTGAAAGGAAACTAAAAGTCTCTGTATTTCTGGAATGATTCACATTTTCCAGATGACTTATCTCTCTATGTGTTGGAAATGTCTTTTAAAGAATTTATAAAGCTGCATTAAAATGTAGAAAAATCCTTCTTAAGAAAACTTTAAAAAAAAAATTAAAGCAAAGTCTGTAGACTTTGGGAGAGCTTAAGCCAATCTACCCAGAAAATCAAATCCTTAAAAAATGCTTCAATAACTTTATTTCCTCTTGGCTCATATTCTCTGTTCTTTACTCTTGATTGGGATCAGATGTAGAATGAAAAAAAAAAAAACCTTGTTAAAAATGTTGATTTGTGGGATTTTATTATTCAATGTTTCTTCATTAGAAAAACAAAGACACTGAAGGGCAAGAACTAGCACTTATGATTTGGAGCCCAGGTGCTTCTCAAGTTCCTGGAAATAAATAAAGTGTAATGTTGTCCTCATTTTTCTTCAAAACTTTAGCCGTTACACATTCGGATTCTAAACTTCTGGTTGGTTAATAATACCTTTGCTATGTGCCTTTTAAAAAAGACATTACTTGCTGTTTGCTAGTGTTCCTATTTCCCACATTTCAGTATTTGTAGAACTCTTCTGCTAGAAAAGTGCCCAAACTATCGTGCTTTCCAGTTTTTCTCTCTGCAAACAGGGCAAAAAATTGTGGTTTGTTACAAGGTTTGTCTCTTATAAAGTAAGGTAAGAGAGAATAAATGGATATAAATTACTTTTGAGCTTAGAAAATGACTTTTAGCTCTGAAGCATGGAGCTTTTTTTTTTTTTTCTGAACTCTGGAACTGAGTCAGCATGTGGACTTTCTTTATGATACCGAACTACAGTAGATGGCAAATGAAATTTCCAGGTCAGCTTTTAGTTCTTATCTGTTTGCCCTTTTCTAGGTTTTTCCTGGTTTTTCCATCTCTCACTGGCCTCTCGACCCTCCCAACGCTGTATATACATGGTCTCAGCCTTCTGCCGTTTTTCCAGTCTTAGTCTTTCTCGATGGGGATGATATAGTTTAACCTTGCCACCCGGCCCAAATCAGTTCAGCATTTACACTGCTACTCATCTCAGTATCTTCATCTCTGCCGAGTCTAGTCCCCCTTCAACATTTAACTCTAAGTTTCACATAATTAAATCTTGCTTAACAACTTTAATTTGTTCTTGAAAATGCCTCAGCTAAGTGAAAAGCCATGGAAATGAAAAAAAAATTCTACATTTTGAAGCCCATTTTAGCCGAGACCCAAATACTTTTCACAGACAGAAAAATGTATCAATTGGGTGATAAGAACAAGTGTATAATAAGTAATAATTTGAAATTACAACAGTTACATATACTGTAACGACATTAATGCTTCCTTTCTCTTTTTTTTTCTTTCTGTGCCATAAGAAAACAGCTTCATTGATATACAAAGTGTACAATTCAATGGTTTTAAAGTATATTCAGAGTTTCTGTACTAGTCTTAAAACCAGTTTTTTAAGCTTTGTGGGTCTCCTGCTCTTTTTGCACGCACACTGCACTTAATGAAGTTATAACAGAAAAACACTCCCTGGCAAATTTAAGGCGAAACGTGAGCGTGTTTCAGAACACCTAACAGCACACGCACAGCACAGATGGAGGAGTCCTGAGAACTGCCGCCTCTTTGGTTCCATCCAAGTAAGTAGCATGATTCCAATTTGGCCAATGTGATCTTCTCTGACTAGAAACTTGTGTGGAGTAAACGGGAGGTACGTGTCTGCCCGCAGCTGTGAAGTGGAACGTTCACGTACAGCACGCTTATTAAATGTGTTTGAGTAAACAGATTGTTATCTTAAAAAAACTAATTATTGACAAACATATGGTAAATAATGTTCCAAGAGCCTGGTTAACGAAACTGCTGGGACATGAGCTAAGTGTGTAATTTTAACAGCTGCTAAAGAAATGCACGTTGTGGTGTTTCTTACATTCCTCAAAAATGTAACACTAAGTGATGGAAAAGGGATTCCAGTTAAACATGGTGTTTGGTGAGAGAGAAGGGAGACTGAGAGAGACTGAGGCTTGTAGAATTTCACCTCTAATGTTAAAGGGACTTCAAAAACACCATTTCATTCTTTAGGAAAGAAAGATGAAAAATATAATTAAAACCCCCTTTTTCTGAAAAAACAAAGCAATTGATAAGATTAAAAACTGTAATTTTACTTGTTAAAATCACAAGAAGATAGAAGGACACATCCACATAGCAAAAAACATGATAAAAAGAAGAAACCTACAAAGAAGCCCCCCAAAGCAGCAGTTATGACCTATGAATATGCATTTAACAGCACGAATCAGAGCCCAGCAGGTCATCCCAGCTCTGTGTGTCAGCAAACGTGCAGCACTGACGTGATGAAGGTCTTATTTTTCAGAGGAGGAAACAGGCTAAGAAATTCAGTAACTTGCCCAAAGTTACATCGAAAATATGTATGAACGTTCACAACTGCAATTAATGTCAATTGATTTTTTTGTTGCTGGCATCAACTCAAAACAGAAAAATAGATTTTTTTGTGTGTCCTGATACAAAATTTAAATTGCTCATAAAATGTTTTAGTGCTCATCAAGGTAAGTACCAAAACAATATAAAAATATTTTTAGTTTTTATAATGGAACATTTATTATAATTCTGGAATTGCTTGTTGGTAATCTTCCTGCCTGATTGAAAACAGACACAAAAGATGGTGAAAAGCAGATTAATACTGAGAGCAAACTCCATTTGGAAAATTGAAAGCCACGGCTGCCAATATGTAAATTTGTATCTTATGTTAAGAAAAAGTGTCCAACATTTATAAAGAAGGCAAAAGGGGGATTGCATATCCTTTCAATCTTGTGCTGAGCACAGTCTGACAGACCCACCCACGACTCTTTCAGTTCTCCAGGACTGCATCTTTCTTTGATTTCCTATTTACTCTCTTTGCGGGGCGAAGGAAGGGTTAGCATTTTTTTCTTTATTTTTAAAAAATTTATTTCTTACTGAAATGTAGTTGATTTACAACGTTAGTTTCAGGTGTACAGCAAAGCATTTCAGTTATGTATATACACATACATATATGTATTTTCCAGATTTTTTTCCATTATATGTTATTACAAGAAATTGAATATAGTTCCCTGTGCTATATGGTAGGTCTTTGTTGTTTATGTATTTTGTATATAGTAATGTGTATCTTTTAATCCCAAACTTCTAATTTATCCCTCCCCCACCTTTTCCCTTTTGGTAACTATAGTTTGTTTTTTATGTTCATGAGTCTATTTTTGGTTTGTAAATAAAATCTGTATCTTTTTTTTTTTTAGATTCCACATATAAGTGGTATCATAATGATATTTGTCTTTAGGGCCCAGACTCTGTGAAATTGAAGATTTCTTGAATTTCACGTTAACTTGCAGATTTTTCTCCAGGGGAGATGCAGATGATTGTGGTAGAAACGATAACCCTAAAGGTTCTGGTTTTATTGCCCTGGAGGACATTAACCAGTTTTGGTTTTAACCTAGTGACTTTATTCCCAAACTCCTTCCTCCTTGACCACAACTACTCAGTTCCTCAAAGGCTCTCTTCCCATCCTGGTGGTTCTTGAGTTAAACACACACTTGTGCCGAGAGGGTTTGAAAGCACACAGTGGCAGTGGGACATCAGTCCATGAGAAGCAGAGTTCTCACAAAAGCTTCCATTGTGGAGCTTTGTACCTGCTGCTTCCTCTGTCACCCCAAGGCTGAGCCCTCCTGTCTGTCCTTCAGGCCTTTGCTGGTCTGTTACCTCCTTGTGGCTCTTCTCTGACCATCTCGTTTAAAATGCAAATCCAAATCTGACTCCTCCTCTCCCTGATTTCCTCTCTCCATCCATACCACATTTTAATTTTGTCTGCCTGTCTTCTCCTCCCGGGGAGGTAAGCTGTCCCACGGTGGAGGTTTCTGCCTCTCTTGTTTCCTTCTGTATCATTAGCATCTAGAACAGTGTCTGGCAGACAGAAGGGCCTCGACTCTGTCCAATGGATACATGAATTAGTTACCATAATCTGCTAATTAACTTGCTATGTGGATCTTGCAGATTCAGCCCTGGCTGTTAGTTGTGAGGCGGACAATTGTTTGTCCCCTTGTTGCTCTGCTGATTTTGAGAAAGGGCCCGAATTATAGTTGTTTTCATTTTATTGACAATAGCTCAGAGTTCTAGTTTAATTTAGAGGAAGAAAGCTGTCTAAAAGACAAGCTCAGATTCCACAAGGACTTCATGTTTTAATACGACTTTGTTACAGGTACCTGTCATGGGGTCATGTGTTGAATTGTGTACCTCCCCGCCAAAGATATGCTGAAGTCTTAAGCACCAGTAGCTTAGAACGTGACCCTATTTGGGGTTATAAAGACATAATTAGCTCAGGCGAGGTTATGCTGGAGTGGGGTGGGCCCTTAAACCAATATGACTGGTGTCCTTATAAGAAGAGAATTTGGATACAGACGCAGAGGAGGAGGCCATGTGACGATGGAGGCAGAGATGGAGTGATGCTGCCATTAGCCTGGGGCTCCTGGAACTGAAAGAGGCAAGGAAGGAGCTCCCGGCAGGAGCCGGGCCCTGCTGACATCTTGATTTCAGACTTCTAGTGTCTGGAGCTGTGAGAGATTAGCTTCTTTTCTTAGAAGCCACCCGGTTTGTGGTACTTTTATGGCAGCCCCGGGAAACTAGGTACCCAGTAAATGTTAGTTCAATTTCCGAATGACAAGCCTTTTACACAGACGCCTTTGTGTTCTGGCACCCACAAAATGCAGCTCTGTGGGAAAAGGGGTGAACATTTTGTGAGGACAAGCCTATAGACAAAAGATTTCCAAAGGAGGGGAGGAAAGAGAGGGCTCTACTTTCCTTCTTTGGTCACGACCCTGACTGAACTAGGAGAAGGGCAGTGACTAAGCTCCCTGCAAAACATGCGGGCTTGCCCTGGCCTCCTGCTGAGAAGTTCATTGCCTCCCCATGTGCCTTTGAGATACTCGGCTCTTGGAGGACAGAGGCTCCTCTGGCCTGAGAATGGAAAAGAAAAGTGGGAGGCCCTTCAGGCTGCCAAACAACAAGCCAGGTGAGACGCCATCCAAGTTGGCTGAGCCAGCAGGATTGGGAGCTGTCGGTGGGTCCAGCAGAACGATAGTCATTTCCATTATGAACAGCAGCTGCCTGTAGACTTAATGGAATAGGAGCAGCCTCTTGGATCAGAGGGTGGGGTGAAGGGTGAATGGAATGGGGCGCCTGCATATGGAACCCCAAGCCTCCGTCTCACTGGTGCCAGCGCGTGGCAATGGCCAGGGGCCACTTCCCTTCCCCATTATTCTCACTCCCACCTCCCTGCCTCTGCTCTCCTGTTCTCTCCCCAGTGTTCTCTCCCAGAATACGCTCTTTCCTTCGTTGATTTAAACCCTACCATTCATCAAGTCTCAACAACTACCATTAACCCTTCCCTGCCAAGATCAGCCCAAACTCATCTTGTTCTCCATTTTCCATTATGATCTAGACAGAGCACCTTTGCCACTGAATATGGTCCACTGGCCAGTAGCACTGGCATCACCTGGGAGCTCATTAGATGTGCAGACCCTAAGTTCTAAGCCAGACCTACTGAATCAGAATTTACATTTTCATGAGCTCCACTCGTGCTTCATCTGCACACGAAGGTGTGGGAAGCACGGGTCCGTATGAAGCACGGGTCCGTATTGCTGGTCTCGGAGTGTGGTTTCTGGAGCACCAGCACCAGCATCACCTAGGAACTTGTCAGAATGCAACCTGTGAGCCCCACACCAGACCTACTGAACTGAGTCCCTGGGGGTGGGTGGGGGACCCTGCCTTCTCCTGGAGACTCTGAAGCACACTCAGATTTGAGAACCACTTGTCTACGTCACTCCGTCCATCATCTAATGATGCTCTTTCATTTCCTGGCTGTTTGTCTTTCCCTTCAAGTTGGGGACGCTGAGACCAGGAACAGTGTTTGTGTGTGTCTGTGCGGCCGAGGTCTCTGCATGGGGGGATGACTGACGTCCAGAGTAACTGTCCAGTGTCTCTGTTCAAGCATGTGGGGGCTGGAGAGAAGGGAGAGGATGAAAGGGAGGGTCCTGGGAGATTCCCCTTTGTTCTGAGTCTCTCAGGGGTTTGAGGTTTCTTGGGGTAGAGGAGAAGGTGTTACACTTCTTCTCTCAAATCAGAGACCACATGGGTAGGTACCATGTAGTTTTCATAATGGGTTAATACCGCGTCAGGGCCTGACCTGATCCAGAACTCGGTCTCCAACCGTTTTACGTGGCTTTTCCTCTGTGGAAAAAGCCATTATTGCCATTGAGCAAAGAAAGCAGTGCTGGCTCATTGTTCCTTTTCCTGGATCAACAAGTCCTTCATCCGGGCAAGTGGCAGTGCCTAGCTCTCTGGCTTACCAGCGAGAGGGATTCTCAGACATGACTAGCATATAGCCTCCTCCTCATGAGCTCTCATGAAACACTGCTGTGTTCCTTCACCATCCACTAACTCCGCGGCCAGCAGTCTTGGGCTGGGGAGCAGAATGTCCCAGAATGTTGCCTTAAGTGCTCTTCCTCCTCAGGCTGGCTGCTAGCTTTCAAATTTCTAGACATAATTCCTTTTGAATTGCTTAATGGGCATATAATTTTAATCAGAGTCATATGACACTTGAGCTGGAAGAAATCTACTCTTCTATTTTTATTTATTTATAAGGCTTTCAACAAAAAACAAAACTGAGGAGTTACAGAGATTATCTGTATACTGTCGACCCTCACACATGCATAGCCTCCCCGTTATCAGTATCGCTGCCCAGAATGGTCCTTTTTTTTTTTAACCAAGGATGACATATCATAATCATCCAAAGTCCAGAGTTTATCTTAGGGTTCACTCTTGGTTGTGTACCTCCAGTGGGTTTGGACAAATGTGTGGTGACATATATCCACCATTATAATATGATACAGAATATTTTCACTGCCCTAAAAATTCCTTTGTGCTCTGACTATTCATTTAGTGTACACAAACGGGAGAAGGTTCTGGAGTAAATGTCATGCAGCTGGTAAACCAGAGAACTAGGACTGGATCAGCCCTTCCGAACCTTCCGTTTAAGAATAAGAGTGACCTCCAGTTAGTGACGCACCTCAGTTTATACTTATTTGCATGAATCCTGACCCCAAACCCAGACCTGCTTCAAGATCCAATTCTTTGCCCAGGACTGTTTTCCAGAACGGGAGCCCCACAGGCCCAGTCCTGGGATGAACTGTGCGAAGGCCTGGAAACCAGAGAGCAGAGAACAGAGAAGCATTATGTATAAAGGCACCCAAGTCACACCCTAGAGGCAGAGAGGATGCCCCAAGGCGCAGGTGAGTTGTGTGGCTGTAGCTGGGGGGCTGCAGGGAAGGCACTGGCGCAAAGAACTCCGGGAGAGGAGAGAAGGGGCTGGTAGATGCAACAGTGTTTCCACCCCCTTTGGTGCTGTTATAATTTGACTTGCAAGTATGGGAAGAAGCAGCTTAATTCCCATAAATCTGAAGCAACCTGCTGGGAGGAGGGGCGGGGACTAGGGACTGCTTAGAGAACCTTCTCCTTAGACAAATGCCTGCTGTTTTCCCTGAATTCTCATGATATCTCTTCAAGCCTCATGATAGCCCATCAAAATTGGCATTTATTTCTATTTCACCAAAAGGGATGAGTCCTGACTTAAATTAGGCTGGAGTCAAAGCTCCTAGAGAGTCCAGGTCTTTCCTTGCCCTCACACCTAAGCTCCCTATAGGGTGACCAGCTTGCCCTGGTTTGCCTAGGACTTTCTTGGCTTTGAGACCAGAAGTCTAGCATCCCAGGAACCCCCTCAGTCTGGGGTAAACCTGGCTCTTCCTCTTTTTGCTCCCTAGACCACAGGCATCTTGACAGGAGCCACTCTGGCCCCACAGGGCCTGAGTCAGGCCGGTCTTGCTCAGCTGATGGGCCCTTGGCACCAGGGCAGCAGGCTGGCTCCTGCTTCTGGACTGGAGGGTCCACAGCCCCAGCCTGCTGCTGCTCCACCAGCTCCTGTCCTGCTGCGTTGTACTGTGGAGCACTGGCCAACAGGAGGCGCTGTCTGCCTGGCTGTACATCAGCTCAGACAGAGGTGGACAAACAACAGGAAGACAAATGGCTCAGCCATTGGGGAAGCCAATCCCTGCTGTTTTCACCTTGGGACGAATGTAGGTGTGAGGATCAAAAACTCATTCAGAATCAACTTCAGTCAAAAGGGACTTTATTTTAGGGATATAAGTTTATAGGATCCAAGAATGAGCCTGAGGTGCAGGCTTGGGGAGGGGAGAGTGTGGGAGCCGCCTCTCCCTGCTGGCTCTCCCCAGCTCAGACTTGCTGGAGTCTTGAGGAGCCCAGCAAACAGCACTGGGGTTTGGACCAACTGGCAGTGCAGACAGGCCCGTTTGAAGGGAATGCTGGGCTTCTTTGGGAGAAGTACTGGGTTGGAGGATGTCACTTACAGAGAGTGGAACACTTTTCCAACAGTGATGACTTAGAATTAGAGCAGTTTATCTACTCCCCACTGCACTGCCACGTGATGGGGAGGATGGGGGTTGCTGCTGCTGCCCCCTCTCCCCACGGAAGACTTATGGCCAGGAGGAAAGAAGAGAAACAGAGACTCGGGAACTTAGGCTCCTCCCAGGAGAGGAAGGAAAGGGAAGAGCTTGGTTCCTCATCCACTAATCTGGGGAGTCAGTCTACCTGAGGTCAGGGAGGGAGAGAGGGAGGGATGGGTGAGGGGGGAGAGCCGCTGGGTGTCACTGCCCACACGGAAGGGGCACCAGGAGTAGGGGGGGATAAGCCTTTCCTCTCCCTCCCAGTAGTCCGACTGGAACAGCCCTGTCTCACAGCCACTGTGGGCACCACAGGCACGTTACCCCCACTGCTCTTCAAGCTTAGAGCCCCTTCCCATCAAGAAGGCTCTGGATTGCTGCTTCCTTCCTGAAGCCTTTCTCACTCTCCTCAGAGCTGTTGTCCCTTCTCTGAACACTTAGGCCTGTCAGTTTACACCCACTACTTAGGGCCTTTTGCTTTTCAAAACAGTTCAAGTTTTAGTCCGTGCTCTCATGCAAAACCTGGTGGCGTAGGGCCCTTCAAGGGTCTCCTTGATGTCAGCCAATCCTTGCACTTAAACTCTGTTCTTCCTTTTCTTTGGTGCTCTTGGTGTTTCTAAAAGCCTGATAATGAACTGGGGGCCTCGGTGGGGAGAAGCCAGCAACTTGAGGCCTTTGTGGTCCAGCTGGGGTCCGGCCCCCGCAGGGACTCTGCGGCCAGGGCTCTTTACCACCAAGGCCAAGAGCGACACTCCACTCGGCCCACCTCAGCCCTTACGGCTAACCAACCCATGATGTTCAGCTAGGTTAACAGGAGGGACCACCCATTTTTATAGTGAGAAACATTGCTCTCCTGAGACCATTACGTGGGCCAGGAAGGAGAGAACAGGCTGAGTTGAGAGCCCTGTCCATTACAGCACAATCTGGAAAGGAGACAAGCTCTGTAGTTGGGCCCCAAGGAGACATTCTTACCGCCCTCCTCAGAGACTGTTGCGGGACTGGCCAGGCCGGGCCCGCGACCAGAGGCCTGCATCTAAGGCCGTTAGATCACACGTGGAGGAAGACAGAGTTGCGCCAAAGATTTTCTCCAAGGTCAGACTGCGCTCTGTGAACTCCCACAGCTGAGTTCATGTTGGTCCCTGGGGGTGAAGATGGTCAAGTCGTCATCACTGGAAAACATTACGTGGGGAAGTGGGCAGCTGGGCTTCGCGGGTTCTGCCACCGAGACCGCGACTGCTCCTAGCAGGTTAGGCAGACACGTGAGAAAGTGGCGACAAAACAACCGGAGCTGTTGAAAAGTGCTTCCGGAGAACGTCGTTTCTAGCAGCTTTCTCCTCCTCTAAAGGACTTTGGACTTTGGACTTTAGTGACAACTGCCCTTGTCCCTAACATTTCTTCTTTGCTGACAGGAAACCAGACAATAGTGCTGAGGTCATTCATCTCATGTTGTAAAACAAATTCTAAGGCAACAAGCTTGGAGGGCCTCCGAAGTAGAGCGCTCAGCATTCTCCCTTGTTGAAGGAAGGGGCTGATCCCTGAAGATCCCTGAATGGGAACCTTACTGACAGGACAGCGGGGCTGATGTGTGCTTAGTTAAAGCTGTTTATTACATGTGAAATCCACTAACATCATAGAATGACTTACAGGTCATCCTGGGTAATGCCAGCACAATGGCCACTGTTGTGACAAGAAAGCAGCTGGCCAGGACTATGGCCAGAACCTTTGGGTGCTGCCCTCTGAGGAAGAAGGCAGGGTCTTAGGGTTGGCAGGTGACATGAGTTCTGAAGTTCCCTCTCAGATCTTGACTTTCTGGCTAACAGGCACATAGTCCCCAGAGTCACTGAACCCAGGCCATATGGTTAAAGTAGACTTTCCTGGCCCGAGTTCAAGGTGCATGTGGGGTTGAGTTGTCACTGAGGCAGGAAGACTAAGCTCTCTTGGCTCACATGGACTTTCTTCCAGGACCTCCTTCTTCTAGAAGGATAACCAGACTTGTTAAATGTCTCATAAAATGCTTGGCAATTAGCATAGCCAGACACTAGACAAGCTTGGTGGGTGAGAGCCAGGGGGTTTTGGCCAGAGTCCTTAGAACTCACCCAGATCTGCATGCAAGCCCTCTTCAAGGGAGAGTTCCTTGGGCTGAGAGAACAAAATGGGCCCAGCTGAGAGGTTGCCGTGGGATGCACAGTGCTGTTCAGAGAGCTCTGCAGAAAGGTGAGTTCACGGGTTGGTCAGGGCTTCAGGCAGCTCTCGGAAGATTAGGCTCCTTTGGAGCAATGGAGGGGAAAGTTGAAGATGTTCATGGGCAGCACTTCTCAGTGTCATCACCAGACAGCACAGTAGGAGGCATCTCATCTCGTCTTCTCTCCTCCAAAGGGCACTGGCCTGGACAGGGCCTTCTAGGGTCCTAGTGTAGGTGCACTGGGGTCAGGCAGTGTAGACACGAGAGAACAGAAGTGGAGGACAGTGGAGACTCCCTAATAGGAAGTCTATGAATTAGATACTTTACTACCACTTTGAAAGTCTTCAATGACCTGAAGGAGGTTCAGGTCCTCATTCTGCAGGAGAAAGTAGGAAATGGGAAATGACTGGTACAGGTCACACAGCTAATAGCTGGCTAAGCAGAGGATCAGGCAGAGGTCCAGCTGATGCCAGGCTGCCTCCGACCACACTTAATCTGAGTTACTAGTTACCACTGGTGGGACTTGCCCTCTGGATGCTGATGCCAAGTCACCAAGCAGTATGTGTGAGCCCAGTCTCTTCCAAGAAACTGATGAGGTCCTCAGGGCCTGGGACTCCCAGGGGCTTTGCTCAGTGTCCATCAACCATCCCTGTAACCGGGAGCCTAGATCCCTGTTTGGCCCTTTTTGGTTCACTGAGAGGTCACCTCTTCGGGGGCAGAGGCCACATGTTTCCCCACCAGCCTCTTGACCAATGGCGGCTACAGGACTCCTTCACTCTGGGAAATAGGGTAAAAGTCTCCCTCCAACAGGTTAGTTTCTTTTCTGCAGCTGCCAGAGGGATGTGGAGACAAGCGAGGTGTGAGGCACTCCGGAGAAACCTTGCATCACCAGCATCTGCCTTCACCCATCCTGGCCCACAGTTACCCACAAGGAAGCCTGCACGGCGGTGGAGGGAACTGCTGGGAAGTCAGGGGAAGATCCCAACTGAGAAACGGCACAGAAGGCTGGTAGCTCAGGTGACACGAAGGTCACCTGGGAGACTGGGTCCCTGACTTTAGGGGTCTTGCTCTGGCACATGAGGTGTCCTTATAGAATCTTGGGCCAGTACCTCTGGTAGGATTGGGGTTCTGGTTCTGCCCTCTTAGTGTCCAGCTGAGGTCCTTGCCATCTGCAGTGATGTTCCACTGTGGGCTGCCATCAAATTCTGGTGACTCTGCCATCCAGCGCTTGTCCGGGAGGAATCCTGCTGTGGCGCCTGCGCGCTCATCAGCTCCCACCCGGAGAGCACCGCCCCCAACGGCCGACGCAGCGGCCATTTCCCCGCTGCAGAGCTCAGCGAGGGGCTCATCTCAGGGAGGGAAGCAGCTGATGTTCTCATGGGGGTTTTCTTCTCTGCCCTCCTTCCCCCAGAAACCCCCCAAATACCCTTACCGTTCGCTCCCCTTGTCTGCATCTCGGGGCTCTTCCTGGAAGCCCCCCTAGGCCCAGCTGAGTGAGGGTGCTACTCAGGGCAAGTCCTCCCTCTGTCCCCCTGACTACTCACCGCCCTCTAACCTGGGCCTGTGACACCTCCGAGCCATCTCCTGGTGGCAGAACAGCTTTCTTGCTTGGCCTGTCCCCAGGCCTGCCCACTGTGGGTGGTGGTTCTTCACCTGGGTGGTTGCAGCAAAGCTTTAACCTCGGATGAAAGTGGACAAAATCAGAATTTACTCATTTTCACATACATTTTAGGAGTTGAATGCCAAGCCAGAATACCCCCAGCGGCAAAGATCGGGGGCCCTGCCTTCAAGGAAATCCGTTTAGAGGGGAAAATAAGGATACATAATAAAGGACAAATTACCAGTCCAAGCTCGAATGTGGTTACGACTCTGATTACAAGAGTTTAAAGGAAGGAGGGTTGGGGGAGAGGGAAGGAGGAAGCAGAAAGGCTTGTGGGGGATGCAGTAATTGAAATGGGCTCTGAAGCCTGAGAAGTCACACAGGAAGAGACGGGATCACTTCCATGAAGAAGATATGGAGG